CTTTTGTTCCAGCTGTCTTCACCCTGTTTTGTAAAACCAGCTTCCTCTGCTCAGATCCTCCATACTGTGCTAGAACTGAAAACAAAGGCAGCTATACTAGGGACACCTGCATGGCTGCAAGGAGATGCCCGGTGTGAACCACTTACAGGCAGAAAGGCTGATTTGGCTCAGAAGGCCTGTCCCCACTGTAAACAAAGAAGGCTGTGGTGGTAGCTCAGTCCATAGTAAAGTGTTTGCACTGAAATTGTGAAGTCTTTGATCCCCACAACCCATGTTAGAAATAAACAAAGCCAGGTGTACTTATAATCCTAGTGCTATCGAGGCAGAGGCAGGGGGATTCCTGGGGCTTGCTGGACTACTGGGTGCATTCCAAGCATTCCTCAGATAGTTGAGCATGTCCTCTTGTGTACACACACACACACACACACACACACACACACACACACCAACAAACACATACCAGAACGAGCTGGCAGTAGTTGCCACAGTTGCTCAACCTCCTGTCTTCATCCCCTGAGCTTTCAATGTTTAGCACCCCCACTGCCCGGCTCTGTATCTATGCTTGAGCTTTCCCTGAAGCCTTGGAAAGGTCAGTTGGCTATCCGTAGCTGAAATATTAATGTCCCTGCCCTCTTGCCGTCTTCCTTCCATATTCTGCACATTTCTCAGCATCCCTCTAAGCTTCTGCTCCAATCTCAGCTGCTCTCATAAGAGCAGCTTTCCTTCTCTGCTTTGCCTTATTGGTTCTCCCACCCCTGACTCACCCACTAATTCCAAATAAATCACCACCACTCCAATATTTATCTCAAGATCTGCTTCTGGGGAGCATAAACTAAGACATAAATTAATCAGGTTAATTAATTTTCAGCCTCCTTGGGCCTAAAGGTAATTAAATGCTTGTTTTTCTTCCCTTTCTGAAGGCCTTTGGAAGCAGTGCTAAGCCATTTGAATTTGGCTTTGCTGCCAAGTAGCAGACATGAGAAGCTCAGGGCAGGCAAATGTCAGCCCCTGAGGGCACAGCCACAGCTGACAAAGCTATTTATTGCAGGGATCCTGGCTGTCAGTTCTGATCTCTGTTGACAATCAGAGGAATTCACTCGTTCTGCAAATATTTTCTGAGTTCTGCTTCTCTGCAAGAGGCCCAGGCAGCACTGGCCAAATGAAAACAAATCCTGTCTGTCTTTCATGAGATGTGGCCTTCAGATTGCTCTGTTAAAAACACTAATGAATCTGTTCAGAATTAATGTTTGAGTTACTGTTGAGCTGACAGTCATTCTCAGATGAGGGCTGAATGATAATTACCAGTTTTGTGGGTTTTTTAATTTTCACACTAGGCAGGATTTGTTTCTGATAACGATAATGACCCAGTCCATTTTTAAAGAGACAATCACTCAGTGCGATGTGCACTCCAGCGGTGCCTCGAGGGGAGTCAGGCTGCAAACTGAGGTTTAGCTTTGAAACCAAGCCGGGAAAGACACAGCCAGCCAGGTATGGTGGTGCACACCTGTATTTTTATTTTATTTTTTAAAATTTCCCATGATCTCACTTCCCAATGGTAACTAATGTTCTTTCTTTCTTTCTTTCTTTCTTTCTTTCTTTCTTTCTTTCTTTCTTTCTTTCTTTCTTTCTTTCTTTCTTTCTTTTTTCCTTCCTTCCTTCCTTCCTTCCTTCCTTCCTTCCTTCCTTCCTTTCTTCCTTCCTTCCTTTCTCTCTCTCTCTCTCTCTTTTTCCTTTCCAAAACATTACATCCTAACCACAGTTTCTCCTTCCCTTACTCTTCAAAGCAGTTTTCCCAGGGATGTGGACTGAACACAGTATAGTAAGTTGCAATAAGACTAGGCACAAATCCTCCTATCAAGGATGGACAAGGCAACCCAGCAGGAGGAAAAGGGTCCCAAGAGCAGGCAAAAGAGTCAGAGACACCCCCATTCCCACTGTTAGGCGTCCCACAGGAACACCCAGCTACACAACCATAACATATATACAGAGGACCTAGCTCAGACCCACACAGTCTCCATAACTGTCGCTTCATCCTCTTATGAGCCCTGCTTGTTTGATTCTGTGGGCCATGTTCTCATGGCTTGCTTGTGATCTCAGCACATGGGAAGCTGAAGCAGGAGAATGGGAAGGTCAGGTGTAGTCTGGGCTACACAGAGAGACCCTATCTCAAACAAGCAAACGAACAAAGTGGGTGTGGTGGTGCACGCATCTAACCCTAGCACTCAGCAGGTGGAAGCGGGGGTATCAAAGAGTTCAAGGTTGGGCCTGGAGAGATGGCTCAGTGGCTAAGAGTACTCACCGCTCTTGTTAAAGATCTGGGTCTGGTTCCCAGCACCCACGTGGTGGCTCACAACTGCCTGTAATTCCAGTTTCAGGGGATCCGATACCCTCTTTTGATATCCCTTGGCACTTCATATATATATACTCAGGCACACACACACATATACATAAATTAAAAAAAAAACAATATGAAAGAGTTCAGGGTCATCATTGACCACATATGGAGATTGAGGTCAGTTTGGGCTACATGAGACCCTGCTTCAGAAACTTAAGGAAAGAAAACGAGGATAAGCAGCAGGAGGAGAAAGATGTTGATGCTGTCTGTGGAAGGAAGTTATTTGGACTAGTTGCCAGGAGAGTTCATCCTGGTGCTACCGATCAGCCAGAGTGACTGTGGGGAGTCACTTGTACTCTCTGGGTCTCAGTGGCCTCATCTCTTCAGTACAACTCAGTCCTTGAGGTTTTTAGATGGTCCCAGGGTCATAAAACATTTACAAATCTCTTTTAAAAGAGGGCGAACACAGATCTGTGGTTTGACTTCACTTTGCCCTGTATAGTTATGTCTGCCAACAGATAGGGTGAGGTTGGGGAAAGGAAGTGGAGAAATAGGGGTGGAGTAAGAGTGAATATTTGAGGGAAACAGAATTAGGAAAGATCCTGCAGGGATGGCCCTTGGAGGCTCAGGGGATGGGGGGCAGGGAGAGGCAAGTGCTGAAAGGTCATTTTTCCCTTGTCTTTTGGCAACTCTTGGGAATGTCATGGTCCTCAAGGCTGAAGGAAGGTCAGGCTTATCCAGAGCACTTTTGAAATGTATTTTGAGATGTATTTTAGTCTCTCTGTCTCTATCTCTGTCTGTCTGTCTCTCTCTGTATACAAGGACATCATAGGCCAGAAGAGGATGCTATATCCCCCAGAACAGGAGCTGTCTGACATGAGTGTTAACCAAACTCAGGTCTTCAGGAAGAACAGTATGTGGTCTTAACCAGTGGTCCATTTCTTCAGCCCCTGCAAACTTTTAATAATAATAATAATAATAATAATAATAATAATAATAATAATAATAATA